AAAAATCAATAAAATATATTTTTTAAAAAGGCAAAATATTTGAACAGATAATTCACCAAATAAAATATGTGAAAATGTGAATGGCAAAAGATTAGTCTCATGAGATATTAGGACAACACAAAAACACCCTTCTGTACCACTGCATACCCACTGGAACAGGTAAAATAAAATACAAGCATTGGCAATACTATGTTGGAATATACATATTGCTTGAGGAGATGCACAGTGATATAGCCATTTTGGAAAACAGGCAGTTCCTTATGAAGTTAATCAGATACCTACCATATGACCCAGTGATTGAAAGAAATAAAAACACAGGCTTGCCTGCAAATGTTAGTGGAAGCTTTATTCCTAATAGCTATCAAGAATCAGCCCAAGCTAATGAATAAATAAGCAAACTGTGGTATATTCATAGGATGAAATACTGCTCAGCAATAAAAAAGTAACCAACTATCAATACATGCAACACCATAGATGAATCTCAAAATCATTATGTTGAGTGAAATAAGCCAGACACAAAATACTATATACTGCCTGATTCAGTTTATGTGAAATCCTTAAAAGACAAAACTGTAATGACAGAAACAGAACTGTGGTTGCCATGGATTGAGTGTGGGGAAGGGAACTGGTGCAAAGGAGCAAGAGAGATTTTTTTAGAGTGATAAAAATGTTCTACATTTTAGTTGTGGTTACACAACTATACACTCCAAACTTTTTGAAAATGCACTTCAAGTGGGTGGATTTTATTTTATGTAATTTTTTATTTTTATTTATACATCAATAAAGACAATTTTAACATGGATATGTTGCATTTTAGATTTCAGAGGAATATGCATGAGGCAGTACTTAGAAGGTATTTGGAGTTTCAAGTGCAGTCACTCAGCAAATACAGATTGAGTATCTCCTGTGTGTAATAACTGTCCCAAGCAGTTCACAATTGAGTAAAACATGACCCCTGTGCCTATGCCAGAACTCATTGTTTGGATCAGGGAAATAAACAGTTGCCCAATGGATAATTACAAAGCAATTAGCATGTGTAAAAGCAGAGCATGAACAGAATGCTGTGAAAATGCAGAGGAAAAAACTATGTCTTTGGGGTCACCATGATCATTCTTAAGAAGGTTTAAATGACACATGGAAACTTACAATTATGGGAAATTACTCCAGGCATAATTCGGATGTTTCATAGAAATGAGGGATTGATCCAGAGGGAAAAGAGACTGGAAACACAATCTAGAGGTACATATCCGGGGTGTCCCCAAAATATGTATCCGCACTTTAATAGCTGATAGCTCAGTTTTTAAAATGAAAGGTACTTTAATAAGCACTGCCTTTATAATTATTCACAGCGTGTGTATGCCTTTTGGGGACACCTAGAAGGAAGAGGTTGAGAAGCCCACAGCATCTGATCGCAGACACTACATAAAACAGGAGATTCAACACACACACGAGTTTGTAAAGACCCAAGAAGCAAGGCAGATTTAGGATTGATTCAAGTCCACTCTATCTAGTGATTCAGGCTATGGATGACTTTTTAAAATGCTTCAGTAATAACAGAATGAAGATGTTACAGATGGGGAGCATATATAATACTATTGATAAAAATGGTAGTAGCAAAATACTGGTCTGCTTCCATGAGTATACATGTTTACATGTTAATTCACATGTTTATAAGTAAGCATGGCACAGATTAACTCATCATAGGTAGAGAATAAATATTAAAAATGTTTTCATGGACTTGATTTTTAAGAAATATCAAAGAGATGACAGGAAATGGACTTGTGGAGGTAGTGCCATTAGATTTGGCAGGGATGGTTAATGATGTTTGAAAATAGTGTTCAAAAGACCTGTAAGGACATGATCTAGACTCTGAAGGCGCTGAGACTGTGAGAGCAAATAGGAAGAGAAGAAGGCAGTTCCGGGAAGTTCTGAAACACTGCCTCTCCTCCACTCCACCCTCTACCCCCATCATCTAGCTTCTGCTTATTCTTCAGTCATCAGCCTAACCACTCCCTCCTCAGGAAGACCTCCCTCCTCAGCCTTCACAGACTAAATTGAGTTTCTGTGTTAGACCAGCTCAGCATTCTCTTGTTCTGCAGAATCTACCGCAATTTGTAATACTCTGTGTATTTCCTAAATGCCCGCCTCCCTCAGCCAGCTGCCAGTTGCATGAGGATAGCCACCTTGAGATTTGCTCTCCATTTGACAACCCAGGCTCATCACAGTGTTGGTGCACAGTCAGCTCTTCATCAGTGGGTAGTAAATGAGAGGGGCAAAGTGGTGTATTTCCAAAGCAAATCAACAGGTAAAGTAGTGATGAGCTATCAAAGCACAACATGTCACCCGGTATGGAGATTGCTGGAGTGGGGTGCAGTTGGAGAATTAGGGAACGTGGGGTTACCATTTTTTAGAAAAGTTTACTCTAATTCCTTGGACTCACCAAGAACAAAGATGGGTTGAAGACGAATGAGTGATGTTTGATTTATTTTTAAATATACCTCTATTGACTTAAGAGAAGAAAGGAGAGGGGGAAAGAGAGATAGAAACATCAATGGTTAGAGAGAATCACTGATCAGCTGCCTCCAGCACATCTCATACTGGGGATCTAGCCCGCAACCTGGGCCTGTGCTCTGACCAGGAATGGAACCATGACCTCCTGGTTCATCAGTCTATACTCAACCACTGAGCCATGCTGGCCAGGCAAGAGTGATGTTTTAGTTATGGGTGTTTTTTTTTTTTTTTAAATCTTCACCCAAGGATGTTTTTTTATTGATTTTTAGGGAGTGGAAGAGAGAGGGAATGGCAGAGAGAAATATCGACATGAGAGGAAAAAAAAAAAAAAAATTGGTTGCCTCCTGCACAACAAGCCTTCTGACCAAGCCCTGGACCAGGGAGGAGCCTGCAACCGATATATGTGCCCTTGACTGAAATTGACCCCAGGACCCTTTGGTCCACTGAGCCAAACCGGCTAGCGCAGAGTGACAGGAGAAAATGGGAGGAGCTGAAATAAAGCAAATGGGAAGACTTCAGAAATGAGGGGAGTAATCAAGTGAGTCTTGAGAGCAGTATAAAGTATCATCTTTTTCTCCTTGTCAGGTGTGTTGGTAGTTTATAGAGGATTGTGAGCCAGGGAGAGTAAAAGGGAAGTACATTTTAGTTAAGGTGAGAAGGTACCAAGTTTGCTTATGTAAATAAGGGCAAGTACAGTAGACTGTGTTCACAGTTACACAGGTATCATAGGATGCAGTGCGACAGGAATAATAAAGAGGAAGAATAAGATGACAGAACGAAGTTGTAGAGGACAACTAATTTCAGTGCATCTGCTTAATAAGCATTCATTGCTTGATGGACTTTCTCGGTACAAATCCCTCACTTATTTCTAAAGAAACAGCACTAAAGAACCCAAAGCTGAGTAACAGTTACAGCAAACAAAGCCATTTCATTATGTGTAGCCCCCTGTCTTAGAATGTATTTGTGTTATTTGCATGAAATGTTGTTTTTTTTTTTACTGAAAGCATTTTCTTGTATTTTTTAATAGCTCTTACACAGTGATACCAATTCTGCACAACATACTCAGCTACCTGGTTTCGACTTCCCAGAAATTCTTGGCTCTGAATAATAGAAGTTACATTGGCTAGTATTTTTAGAAATGAGTAATCATGCCTTTGAAACTCTTTTTTTATTTAAAATAGTTTACAAAAAAAAAGTATAATAATGAAACAACTTAGTTCAGTTTATGTGCATCTCAAATACAATCTATTTTGCTTAAAACAGAAATCAGCACAGTGCAACTTTTATCTACCAATGAAAGCCTGGCCTTGTTACAGCATTGTAACCCCACTCATGCCCAGTGTCTAGCTTTGGAGGCTGGACTCAGGAATGCTCTGTTTGGCCGTGAACAAGAGCATCCTGTGGGCAAAACAGAATAACTCTTACGGGAGTCACAGAGAGCCCCTGACCTTGACTCCTGACCTTCACAGCCTTCACTCCTAAGGGCCAAGGCACAGACCACCTGGGGGCATATGCTTTCTCCTTATGGTTCAAAACCAAGGATCAGAGGGCTCTGTGATATCCAGGTGAATACTCATACATCAGAGCATGCCTCTTTCCATCAATGTGGTGTTTTTTTGGGTTTGTTTTTTTTTCTTCTTAGTCAATATTGTAAAGTGTTTTGTTTTGAGTTCTTTTAAGTGGTCATCCCAGTATTTTACCAGGTATACTGAAATACAGCTCTCTGTTCTATGAGGAAAAAAGCTACTTCCTGAATGTGAAATGTGTTGGAAAACATCACTACCATCATTGTATAACTAACTGTGTTAGGGCTTCAGTGGTTCTTGTTAATCCTAACTGAAAGCGCCCGGGAGGTTAATTCTTGGTAATGCAAAAACAGCGATGATGTGGGAGAATATGCTTTATCTGCTGCAGCGTTTTGCATGTGTGAGTAGCCGTTACCAAGGTGGAAAGAAAAGAGAAACCTTGCTTTTATCTGCACTTTTTCTCATCACTCCAATTCCTCTTAGTCTTCTTGGTACCCATGAATAATTTTCTCATTAAACAATGACATTTTGAGTTGTCACATTTTAGTTTCCTTCGGTAAGATTCTCTGCTCTTATCACTACCACCTCCAAAAAATAAAAGATAATTCTCGTCATGTATCTAGGGCATTCCTGATTTGTCTTGTGAATGAGTCAAAGCTGAGAGAATGGTGTGAGAAGTCACCGTTAAGTGTTAAGAGTCAGATAATTTGAAGACGGATCCTGGAGCAGACAGTCAGAGCATGAATTTGATTCAGTGTTTCCCCTATCGCCGAAGGTGCGATCCGCCTTATCTTCTTTCTGCCTCTTAGTCTCGGTGGAGATTTTATTATCTGAGCGTGTGGAGGAGGAAGAGATTTAAGTCTGAAAAGCCTAGAAATGCTTCCCCCACACCACCAGGAGCTAGCTATTCACTTTGCTCTGGAGGAGACGGCAGCACACACTCATCTCCACTTCTCTCCGCAGTGGGTAAACCTCACAAGTGCAACTACTGTGGACGAAGCTACAAGCAGCGCAGTTCGCTGGAGGAGCACAAGGAACGCTGCCACAACTATCTCCAGAACGTCAGCATGGAGGCCATGGGCCAGGTCATGAGTCACCACGGTGGGTAGACCCGGGATTCACAGTGTCCGTACCCCTCTCTCCTGCTTTTCGAGTTCTGTATGGGTGAAGTGGTTCTGTCTACCTCTCAGCATGGAGGGGGGGAAAATCTTACTTTCTTTAGAACAATTTTAGATCACATTAGCTTTGTGTGGCATTCTCTTCTTAAGCATTTGAAAAGAGTTGAGCTTTGGGACCCTTTGTAAACAAACTATATTGAATTTTTGTGATACTCCCCAGTCAGTCCTCATAACACGTGTTTGAGTTAACCTAATAATGGCAGGTGACCTTGAATATGCCAAAGGAAGGCAGTGCTTATTCAAATAGCTAGAGATGGTCCCACATAAGTCAACAGGCTTCCGGAAAGGTTTCATTAGCTACATGTGCCTTTCTTCTAGGTAAGTGATTGTGGATAGAATTGGAATTTTCTCCAAAGTGCCTGGTGAATTATCTTGGAAATTATTGATTTTCTTTCTGCAAGGGTGGGGCACAAATTAGATAAAAATTAGGCACCACTTCCATGCACAGAAATCAAAATCCAAGCAAATGATCCTTATCTCCAGAATCCACAGTAGCAGATGGAAGGCAGTCTCTAAGATTTATCAGTTAATAACTCTAAAATTTTATGTGGGTAAATCAGCCTTACATAAGAAAGTTGTTAAGTTCACTTTTTTAGATTTGGAGGCATCTTGTTTTGGCCTATTAATTATGTTTTTAATCTTATTTTCCATACAAAAACATATAAAAAAATCTTAACTTATTGGTATTTTTATATCTGTTATGTAAAAATATTTGGCTAATATTAAACAGAATAATTGGAGATTGCTATAGTCACCTTTAAAGTACAAATATCTATTAAGTGATTTATAGACAGCTCTGAGATGATTTGTGGTTTTTTTTGTTTGTTTTATATGGTGCATACTATGAAACAGTGTTTATTGGATAGCTAGTGATTATATGTTGTTGGCAATTCCTTTTAATTAAAGTATTTTGTTATCGTGAATAATTTAAGCATGTCTTTGCATTGAGGCCAGTTTATATAATATAAAGGATCAGATTTAATTCTATACATGGTTGCAAGTCCATTTTTTTTATTATATTGTTAATAAAAACAATTTAAAACCTCTAACTAAAACAATTTAAAACCTCTCTGTTTGAAGTCTTATCAAATTTGATACTGCAAGCTTGGATTACCTGGGCTTATGAGGGTAGCACAGGTTCCAGAGCAAAGAGGTTAAAGAGGTGTGAGTCCAGCAGACCTGGTCTGGCTGTGTGATGTCTGCGTATGTTACTCATCGTCTTGGCATGAGAATTAAATGCTATTGGGTGTGCAATAAACACCCAATAAATAGTTCTTTTTACTAGTACATTTCTGCGCATTAAATATTAAGAAGTAGTAAAAGTTCAATCCCCTTTAAAGTTAGGTTACTTGCTGGCATTAATTTGGGCACTGGAGGTTTCATTTGCCTATGAAGCACACTGTTTCTGTTTGAAGTACTGGTTGTAGAGGTGGCTTGAGGCAGGATAGCTTATAGAGGCTTGGGTGCATGCCAAAGCTTGCCACAAATTTCCAAAGACACCTTGTGCTCTTACTTTCGCCTTTTAGTGGCCTCGTATTACAGTTTTGACATTTGATTGGATTAGTGATTCTCCTAATTCACCTTTCTGATCATAGTTATTTATGAAACTCTAGGTCGCATGCACATGTGAATGAGAGGAAATCTCTCCAGAAGACTTTATATTGCTATAGGGAGATCACTCCACATAAACATAGTGGATATTTAACTATCTGTTGGCAGATTAACCAGTTACGGAGTAAGTGCTGACAAGCAGTTTAAACAGGTGTATTTTGGGAAGGGGGAAGTCTTATTTCTAAACAGCTGCAGCCTCAGCATCAGCCCCACTTTCCAGTTTGCTTATGTCTTCATGGCAAAGGCCCTTGGGGGGTGAGGAGTGGTTGAGGGAGACCCTCAGGTCTGGGAAGACCAGAGAAAAAGCCAAGGAGGAGGGGGTGGAGGGAGGTATCAATATCATTTATAGTCCCAAATATTTGTTCTTCAATATTGGATATTAATTTTACCACCTAAGATTACATTGGTAACATTTACTGCAGTACTTTTTCAAGGTGTGTTGTAATAATAATTGTTAGCATACTTAGTGGGTCATTGAATGTGTGAGGGTAGGAGCTAATAAATACCACAGGAGAGAAAAACATGGGTGAATGCTGCTAGAGTTCATCATGAACCTTGTCTCATATGCATTGCTTGGCCTATGTCTCCTTGTAAACAGAGCCGCAGTGAAATCATGTGAATCCCCTTCCCTCTCTTACTGGCTTGTTACATCTTCTCTATTTTTTTTTTTTTGTCTTTTCTTTTTCTTGTGGTATGGATGGCAGTTGCTATACTTATGGCTGCCATTAGCTCCTTTAAATTAATTACTATTCTTTATTTTCATATCTGACATTATGATATTTCCTAGCCTCTCTTTCCCAAAACATGTTCTTTCCATGTTGGTTCTTCTAGCGAGAAAGTGTCTGAAGTCAGAGCAGCATTCTTGAACTGTATTTGTGTTTTCTAAAGAAACATGGCACCCAGATAGCATATAGGATGGATATCTTGTTGGTATGTTAGGAGAAGCAGGAAGTGAGAATGCCACAGAGAAGAGGAATAGGCAGTAGCAGAAGATGAAGTTGGGGAAACCCTGAAGACATATTCAGGGGTAGAATAAAAACCTATTTAGTTTGATGGAAAGGGAAAAATAATGACTTATAGTTTTAAAGATAATAATGAATTTGGTTTTATAGCACATTATCTTATTTGAAAGTTATTTTATGCTAATTTTTAAAATTTATTTAGCTTGAAGAAAAAGCTTTAAAAATCAAAGTGTATAATTAAGTTTTCCCCTTGCCTAAAGACAAAAATGAAAGTGTAAACTGGAAAGATAGCTGACTTTAAAGAAAAAAAAAAATAAAGAATTTTAATTTATGATTTGAGTTATTTGGTAAAGAGAATTTCTTTATTGAAAGTATGGAGACATGTTGGAATCTTGTAAACCTTCTAATACACTTTTTCACCCTATTTTCATTGGGTAACATTTCCTTCATTAAGTCACTTGGGAAACATCCATTGACTAGTATATTTGTCTCACATCATAAAAGGTACTACAGATACAAAGTCAAATAAAAAGCAGTCTCTACCCTAAGGTCATTTACAAACACTTGGAAGGATCTGACCTGTAAACCTACAGTGAGAACACTGTGATAAGCATTACGGCAGCACACCTCTGGGTATCCAAGAGGAGCTTCTAGGGAAAGTTGTGTTGGAGTGGACTTCTGGAAGGAGAGTGTTTCATGCAGAAAGAACAGCGTGTGTGAAGACATGGAAATCTGAAAGAGCAGGGTAGGTTACGGACCTAGAAGCAGCCACGTATAATTAGAGCCCAGTCTGTAAGGGTCCAAAGCATCTGAAGGCGGTAAGGCTAAGAGACTTGGGCTATAAACAGGGAATTTAAGGGCCTATGTACTAAGTGAACAGTTGTAATATATCCTAAAACAAACAAACAAACAAACAAAAACATTACATCAAAATTTCATTACTAGAAATATGGGAGATAGATCAGAAAAGTTGACATAGAGGCAAATAGACCATTGCAACAGTCTACTGATTAGTTGTGCTTAGAGACCTACAATATCCAGAAAAGTCAGGTAATTGGGAGCAACTGTAGATGTACATTCTAAAACGCTTGGTCTCTCTCTCCCTCTCCCTTTTCCTCTCCCTCTCCCTCTCCCTCTCCCTCTCCCTCTCCCTTTCTCTCTTCCTCTCCTTCTCCCTCTCCCCTCTTTCTCCATATATATGGAGAGCTGGTAGACAGGAGGAGACTGGTTGAATGGACAAAATCTAGAATCTGCCACAATTATCTAGTATGGACGACCAGCTAGGTAGTGCTATTCACAAGAGATGGAAATTAGAAAAATAAGAGAAAGTTTGAGGAGGGAAATGGAGATTTCAATTTTTTGACACATTATCCTTTAAGTGCCTATTAGAGATAGCCAAGTGAATCTAAGAAGTCAAATATTGTATGTATAGCTATATATTAGATATAGATATATGTATATATATTCTTGATATATGCAGGTATATCAAGATCTGGAGAGAGCCCTCGCCGGTTTGACTCAGTGGATGGAGCCTCCGCCTGTGGACTGAAGGGTCCCAGGTTCAGTTTCAGTCAAGGGCACATGCTTGGGTTGTGGGCTCAATCCCCAACAGGGGGTGTGCAGGAAGCAGACAAATCAATGATTCTCTCTCATCATTATGTTTCTATCTCTCTCTCCCTCTCCCATCTTCTCTGAAATCAATAAAAATATTTTTTTAAAAAGATCTGGAGAGAGGGGTAGGGAATAAAGTCGTGGAAGCCATCATTACATAGATAGTAGCCTGAAGTAACAAGTTTTATAAAATTATATAGCTAAGAATATAGTGAGACATCTATAAGGTCAAGAACACATCAGGAATAAAAAAAAAAATTTTTTTTTAAAAGGCCATGAAGATGAGTAAGAGCAGAAGGCCTGAAAATGGAGTGATTTGACAGAAGCCAAAGCAAGTATTAGCACTGTCCAATGTTCTCAAGAAAATAGCTCAGATAACTGAAAAGTTTGTTTTAGCTTCAGCAAAATGGAGAAAATGTGAGAATATAGAAGATATCTGTTGTTTTTGCCTGCCCTTCATACCTTCCTCCTTCTTCTGATAACAAGACTTTCATTTCCCTTCAGAGAACTGTCTCCCTTTGCAGGAAGTCATGGAGGGACTGTCGGTCTAGGTGCCGAGCCTGCTACTGGCCACGGGATGGACACATGGCCTAATCTAGGTCTCTCAGATTGTGTATTCTTGGAACTTGAAATTTAAGTGGATTGTTCAGTACAGTAGCTCTGTATTGGGAAAACCATGGTTCTGTCTTTATGATTTATCAATGAAAGGAGATAATAAAATAATGCAAGCATAAATCTATGTTTACCCTGGTTATATCTTTAAAAATAACTCCAAAGAAGATACTTGGCTATGAAGTTTGTTCCAACAAGTGAAGTTAGCATGTTGGTATTTTCTTAGCCTAGAGGAATGTCTCACTGTGGGAGTAACCCATCATTGAGTTAACTAAATGTACTTCCAAGCATAAACCTACTTTTGCCAACCACCCTGTGTATCCAGAAACATTTTGATGAGATGCACAGATTCATGAAAGCAGAAAGTTCAGGTTAGTTACGTAGTTAAGAAAATGTATCAGACATTTCCCCAGTGGCAGACCATGTCGATCTTATTTACATAAAGTCAAAATTCGAATTACATATAAAAAGAATACTGTAGCATATTGGCTAAGAGCCAAGAGCCTGGAACTAGATCACGAAGGTTCAATTCATATCCCGTATTCCTTACTAACTGGATGCAGACCCCGAGGAAATAACATCACACCTCTGGGTCTTTGGTTCCCCACCTGTGAAATGGAGAAGGCAGTTGTATCTCAGGGGGTTACTGAAAGCATTAAATGAATTATTAAATGCAAATCCTTAACACATGTCAGCTCTCAGTGTTGTTGTTGTTATTGTTGTCAATATGGTAGAATCAGGATCAACCTCTGATCTATAAAGGACTTTTGCAATGCACAATTTAGACCAGAGCTCTGCCAAAGTCATTGTTTTCAGTTCACACGAGCTTCATTGAACTTGGGACAAATCATCTGAATTGAGGTGGATGTGGTATAGGACAGTTCCCACACCCAGGTTTCGTTTTGAATGTTAAATGTGTGCAAATATGAAAATTTAAGGTGAGACTTAGAGCAAAACTGCTAAGTTTTAGACTACTCATTTCAAAACTAATTAGTATATTCAATTTTGGGACAAACCCTGTTAACCAGTTTTTCTGTTTTTTAACAAAATTTACAACAAACTTTTTTTTTCTTTTCTCCTTTAATTTGTGATCTTGGTCTGTGACATATTTTCATCTTCAATTTATAGTTATTTGGTTTATAAGTACTTTCTAAATAATATAGCAAGTGCCCTAGAATCCACCCAAAACAAAAGTTTAAGATTTTGCCAAAACCGGTTTGGCTCAGTGGATAGAGCATCGTCCTGCAGACTGAAGGGTCCCGGGTTCGATTCCGGTCAAGGGCATGTACCTTGGTTGCGGACATATCCCCAGTAGGGGGTGTGCAAGAGGCAGCTGATCGATGACTCTCTCTCATCGATGTTTCTAACTCTCTATCTCTCTTCCTTCCTCTCCGTAAAAAATCAATAAAATATATTTTAAAAAACAAAAGTTTAAGATTTTGACAATAATCTGCAGCTAATTGCATGGTTCCCTACACGTCACCACTGCCATTCCACCTTCCTTTACCCCTCATTTAAATCTTCTATTTGCTAAACTTTTTAAGTTATTTTTTTCTTTTACAATTTTAGTTGTTTCTAAGATAGGACACACATAATGTAGGACATACTTTTTCCACCTGGTAATATTATTAATTATATATATAACAAACAAGCAAAGCATTTCCTTGTTTCTGAATTTATTCTTGGAATTATTTTTCCAAATTAACATCCAATAATTGTAGAATTCCTTGTCGTTAGTAACCGGAGGGTCTGTTATAAAACAGAGATTTAAGATTACATTTTTCTGGCCCATCTACCAGACTACATTAGGTTAATCACAAACTTTAGATTGAATGTCAATCTTTTTAAACATATCCAATTTAGGAAAACAATTTTATGATGCTATTTTTCTTCTTTTTTCAAAATATGCAACCTGTATTGCTTATTAACTAGGTCACCTGAATTGTGCACTGGATTTCCTTAAATTTCATCTCTTGCTTTCTCACTTTATTTTAGCTTTCGCCCTTATAAATGAGAATGCATTGTGTTTCACACAGTGAACTATCCTTTGCAAATGCAAGGAGCAGAATAAATCCCTATACTGTGCATGCTGAATAAGTAACGATATCCTAAGATATGAAACCCTTTGGTTTCCAAAGAGTATTGGCACAGGTACAATTGGAGAAAGCAACAGTAATCAAGAAGCAATAAGTTATGGTCTTTCCTACGAACGTGGTTTTAATCAGCTGATCTCAGTCTGTCCTTAGATGTTACCTAGTTAAATCTGTCCTTGGTTAAATGTTTTTTTGACAGCATTTTTATTCAAAAACAACTTTTACAAGTTCTTCATCTACACGATGCATGTCAATGAATAACATATGAGCCAGTATATTAGCCCATAGCAACTTAACGGAATGGGATGAAGAGGGAGCAGCATTGGAAAGTTTATGCCGAATGCATTAGAGCAGGTTAGTGAGCAAATATGCCATTTGGAAATGGATTCTTTTAACCTGCTGAAGAGCTCTTGTTAAAATAAATTACAATCATGAAGCAGCCAGCTTAGTCGGCATGTTCAGAATGGAATCTCCTTCAGAAGGCTCAAAGGGGCTACCAGCTCACTCAGCTCATCAAATAGAAAAATTGTTACAAGAAAATATATGGGTGAAAAAAAAGCACCCACCTGGTCAAATATTGTGCTGTTATTCTGTGTGTCTGTTGAAGTTTTTCTGCAAACTAGTGGACTTAAATTGTTTTTACAAAAATAAACTTCAAAAGCCTTGAGAATAGGGCAGTCTTAAAGTAGTATTGATTTTAATCACTGTTAAAAAACACTTTCAGGGGCATAAGATGAGAAGCAAGATGAACATGTTTGCCACCCATAATAGTGGCAACAGTTTATGCTGTTGATCTGAGAGAGACTCAGATAAAAAGCAATCCTCTGTGTGTGAGAGCAAAACTACCGGGGACTTGGAACACTGGAGGTTATCTTCGACTTGCTTTTCCTCAAGCATACCAGCTTATGTCTGTATAACACATGTTGAGATGGCAAACTCAGCTTTATACCTTTAAAAGTGTTGAAGAAATTATCAGATTGCATTTTTTGTATGGTTTCATATAGTACCTCCTATAGAAGATTGTAAGGAACAAGAGCCTATTATGGACAACAATATTTCTCTGGTGCCTTTTGAGAGACCTGCTGTCATAGAGAAGCTCACGGGGAACATGGGAAAACGTAAAAGCTCCACTCCACAAAAGTTTGTGGGTAAGCATTACAGATGCTTTTATTTCTTTAAAGAGGTGATTTCTAACGGGCAGAGACATGTTCCCGTGGATTGGAAGTAACCTATGATGCATTTCAGTTTGTAAGATAAACGTTAGTCTCTTCTCTCCATTATTCTTTTCTGCTTTATGCCACTCCGTGTGTATCATACTTGCAAGTGCATACACACACACACACACACACACACACACACACACACACACAGGCACAGGCACACACAGGCACACACACACTCAGAGTTAAGTATATGAGCTGAAGAAAGAGAAATAAAGGAAATACTGCTAGTAGTAAGTAGCTATCTAAAAATGGAATGATATACAAATTGACATAGCATGTAAAAATGTTCACTTAAATTTAAAAAAATGTTTAAGGGAAATAAGGTAGGCTATTAGCCAGTTTTGCGTTGTGTTTTAAAATTTTCTTTAGCACCAGGCCTTGAAGCTGTTTCTGCACATGATGTTAATGTGTTTAGTATTGGGTTTAGGATAAAGAGAAGCCTCTCTTTAAAAAAAAAAAATTGCACTAGAAAAATAATGCAGCAACCTACATTCAAGATGCTTCATATTTGGATCTTTGTTTTCACCCAGCCTATGATTTTGAACTGAAAAGATTAAATGTGATGTATTAGACTTCTCTTTTTCATTTGCAAGCCCACAGATATCCTTTGATCTACTCAGAGTGGGCATGATTCTGCATATTGTAAGTCATAAAGTATCTCTGAGCATTGAAAAAGCGCCTAATTTTTAAAGACCGTGTGAATTACAGAGATTCAAAGTGAAGAGTTGTCATTGATTGTATATGTAATATCTATTTTTATAAACCCTATACAGGATAGAACTTAGAAGTAATAAAAAATACTCTAATGGATTCTCACATTCTACTGTAAAAATCACGTGGAAGGTCTCTGTGAGTTGGATGGTGATTGGGAGAAAATCTTGGTCATTTCAGGGAGGAAAGGGTAACAGATTCTAGGACTCCAATAAGCACAGAACAGGTTTCCTTTCGCTCTGAAATTGAAGAACTAACAAATCACCAAAATATCGCTTTAAGGAAGCTGGAGAGATTAATGTCAGAGCTTATTGAGAGAAGGCTGAGGGCAGCCCTAAGGACCACAGTTCATATAGGTCAGTGGTAAGCCCTTGAGAGTATATTCGGAGGCCTGCCATGGGCCTCAGGGACTTTCCTTTCTGTCCCTTTCTCTTTATTTAAATGGAAGTTCATCTATTTTTAAAATTGACTTAACTTGATGGATGTCCATTAAAAGCCTATATCTCAACTAGACACTAGTGTAGTTGGGAAAATATGAAATATATTACTACGTTTTTCTGTCTTCTGAATTTATTTAGCTTTGCTTTTTGAAACATTTTTATTTTTTTATGACTTACAAATGCTATTCTCAATTTGATTTTATTACATTCCTTAGAAAGGAGGGACAGATTTTTTAATTTACATTTTGATTCTAAAGTAATGACTTCAGATTTTTATTAGGAATTTGATGGAGTTTTTTTTTTTCTTTATTTGGATTCTGCCTTAGTAGTAATAAATAACAATTGCCTAATAACTGTTCCCATGTCTGAAATGAAGATTTCATTATTCCACACTTAATATAAATTCCTGTTTACTGTGTCCCCCAGTTCATTACTGTTCTTTGACCTTGCCAAGCCCTCTCAGCCAGTGATCCCTGAGCTTTCTGCATATATGTTAGTCTCCTGTCATCCAAATTCTATTCCATGGCTCATTGCTTTTTCTACTCTGTTGCTAATATTCTGGACTCTCCTGCTTTGTTGTTCTTCTATCTCCTCCTGGTAAAACCCCACTGTCTAGTGAAGCCATATCTACATAGCTGCTAGTACTTTGGGGGGAAATCCCACAGCCTTACAAACTGCTGTCAATAAATATATTAATAACTGATCTCACACCCTAGCTAGTGTTGCTCAATGGATAGAGCACTGGCCTGCAGACTACAGGGTCCCAGGTTCAATTCTGGTCAAGGGCATGTGCCTTGGTTACAGGCTCCTACATGGCCCAGGCCATGGTCAGAGCTCATGAAGGTGGCAACACAATCAACGTGTTTCTCTCACATCAGTGTTTCTCTCTGTCTTTCCCCCTCTCTTCCACTCTCCCTAAAAATCAATGAAAAAATATTCTCAAGTGAGGATTAACAAACAGTAAATTGTTTTTTAATATATAGCTAAATCAACCAAATTAACCCTAATATAATAGTCAGGTGACAGATTTTATAACCAGATGAGTCTAGTTTTGCTTTTTTTTTTTTTTTTTTTCTTTGTGACTTGTTCACTAATGTTTAAAATATGCAAAAACAAGCATAGAAGCATAGTCTCTGACTTATTTTCATTGGTATTTTTTTTTCTTCTATATTTGCTGAGCTCTAGACAAGTGGAAGCTTTAATATTGAATGAAAAGAAGATTATACACTCACTTATACTTCTCAGGCTGGATGCATTGCAATGATGGCATTAGGACAAATACAAATGGCTTGTGCCATTTTTATGACTATTCCCCTTTGACAGGTTTAGAATGTCTGTGAGTCTCAGCAGAATTAAAGAGCCTACATACTTGGTCTAAAAAAAAAAAAAAAATAAGATATACCATTTTAGGAAACATGGATTTGATTAGTTGGTTTGTACTTTTATCTTTTTAACCCAACCAGTACTTTTATTGTTTCCTTCTTTTTTTTTTCCTTTTTGCTTTTCCTCCCCTCCCTCTTTCAGGGGAAAAGCTCATGCGGTTCAGCTACCCAGACATTCACTTTGATATGAACTTAACGTATGAGAAGGAGGCTGAGCTGATGCAGTCTCACATGATGGACCAAGCCATCAACAATGCAATCACCTACCTTGGAGCTGAGGCCCTTCACCCGCTGATGCAGCACCCGCCAAGCACAATCGCTGAGGTGGCCCCCGTGATGAGCTCAGCGTATTCTCAGGTCTATCATCCCAACAGGATAGAGAGACCCATCAGCAGGGAAACCTCCGACAGTCACGAGAACAACATGGATGGCCCCATCTCTCTCATCAGACCAAAGAGTCGACCCCAGGAAAGAGAGGCCTCCCCCAGCAATAGCTGCCTGGATTCTACTGACTCGGAAAGCAGCCACGATGACCACCAGTCCTACCCAGGAAACCCTGCCTTAAATCCCAAGAGGAAGCAAAGCCCAGCCTACATGAAGGAGGATGTCAAGGCTTTGGACGCCACCAAGGCCCCCAAGGGCTCCCTGAAGGACATCTACAAGGTCTTCAACGGCGAAGGAGAACAGATCAGGGCCTTCAAGTGCGAGCACTGCCGCGTCCTTTTCCTAGACCATGTCATGTACACCATTCACATGGGTTGCCATGGCTACCGGGACCCACTGGAATGCAACATCTGTGGCTACAGGAGCCAGGACCGTTATGAGTTCTCATCACACATCGTGCGAGGGGAGCACACATTCCACTAGGCCTTTCCATTCCAAAGGGGACCCCTATGAAGTAATAGACTGCACATGAAGAATTACTGCACTTACAGCCCCGCCTTCCCCAAGATGTTGACATACCTATTTTTTTTTTAATATTATTACTGTCATTAATTCTTTATTCTGTGGACGCAGTGTCTTTGCTCTGCCTAATTACAATTAGGAAGACACAGAAGGGACAGGGACAGGGGATCATGATTACTTGGCTTGTTTTGTGGGGGTTTTTAAGAGCAGTTCTTTTCTGCCATGCGTAGATATATACGGCATATCGTGCTTTGGGGGGGAAAAATCGATTGATTCCTTATAGATTCACCTAAGAGATTCTGATTTGCCACTGATGTTCAGGATTGTGTTTGAAGGCAGGAAAGGTTAGTATTCTGGGTGGGACACTCGCAGTTTAAAATGGTATAAGTAATTTAACGCTTCAAAGAAAATTTTGTTTTAAATTGTGAACTGCTTGGTTTTTCCTCTAGATCATGTATCAGAAACACATTGTTGCTTTCGGTAAAAACTCCTTGGATGGGTTGTTGTTGAGGGTTCTATGTTTACTTCCCCTATGGAGCTTATCACACAGGATGGCACATTGTACCTTAGAGCAAAGCTTTTCAGCTACAGGTAGTCAGGGACACCTCCAGTTCATCCGAGGTCCTGGGATCTTATTTTTCTAAACTAAGCACTGTTTTTTCCATAGTTTTGATGACTGGCATTTTATAGACACCCTGGCAGCCTTACTTTTAACACCTTTAATGAATAGTATTTTTATCTAGTTTTCAGAATAACATATGGTCTAAGAGTGGCTACGAGGCAGTCTGAAGTTTCCAGAAGGGGCCTCTACTTTTTCGTAAACTTGTTTGGGGAGTTTTCTTTTAACGTTGCAATGTGATGGCCGCATAGTATACAGATTTGCTTCTGAAAGAGTGCTTACCAGTGTCACTTTATCAGCACTTCATCAGTGTTAACCAGTCAGCAGAAAAATATAATTAGGCTAACAGTAGGGGGAAAAAACCCACTCAGAAATCCCTTTTCTGGTGTTTTTCTCTTTTCACTTGTGTTTTTCAAGCTGTGACCACCCAGTGTTCTGTCCATAGTCTATTCATCTTCTCTTCCAGCGGCAGATCTTACAGACCTTGCCACAGGCTGTGTCTTTCAAATTCTCCCTGGAGCAATTCCCTATTCAATCTGAATGTGGAACTTGCACCCCAAAGGTTACGGAATTAGGGCTATTTATTCTAGTATTTCTTCACTAATAACATCTACCACTTTCGGTGCAAGGAAAGGGAACTTCCGTGTCCCTTATATTTGGACGATATGGGCCAAACAGACAGAAAGCTTGTTTTCACAAACAAAAATGCTTTATTTAATCTCAGAGTATAGAATGGGACTGCACCTCCAAGGGAAAGTGACTGTGTCCAGCACTTTTTTGGTCTCAAAAACTTTCAACTTTGCGTTAAGTCCTTGTTCAGAAATGCATCTCAATTTCTTAGTACAGACTTTCTCTTCCCTTAGTCATACATGTTACCATAGTCCACATGCAGACTTCAGCTTCACGTGTGCAGGTGCTCTGTGTGTTCTTTGCAGTCCTGCAGCATTCGAGGGAAGCATCCTGGAGAGGGTGAGTCAGGCCACGTGGGGGACACCCTCGGAGGCAGAACTGGCTGCTGATGTCCAGAGAGGGCTCGCCTGCTGGTGAAGGGATTGTCCGAGAACCATTGCGGATGCTGACGTTCTGTTAGCAGTCCCTGATTGCTGCTCTAAAAACTATCATTAAATGCGATGCAGAAACGATGTTTCTTAGCACAGAATGATGTGAGAATTAGCGAGACTAGAGAGCGATGGACAGATAAGCACCTCTGGACTCGATACAGCTCTTTGCTCGTTTGCTGGCTTGCCATTTGCTTATTTAAGCAGCTTCTCAGCACTGGCAGCCAGGGCCGAGCAGCATGGTTCCCCCTGGGCCCTCCTCTGCTAGCCCCCGCTGTGGTTATTCGAGGAGAGACGTCCAAACCGCTTCCTTCGATCTAAGAGGATCACCAAAACAGAGGCGTGAAATGTTTTCAATAGAATGTCAACTGTCTTTTTTTCCCCCCCTCTTGCATGCTTTGGTACATTGGTGCATTAATACACGCTCAAAGCTAGTCTTTGAGACCCTCCACCCTCCACCCTATCCAATCATAAGTGATTGACATTTTATTTTTGCCTTTCCGTGGTAGGTAAATCATTTAAATTAGTGATTTTGTGTTTCACCGCAATTTAAAGAAACATTTGGATGGCAGTCAGTATGTTCATAACTTTGGCTGTGTGTGAGTTTCTGCTGGCATTGTCTCAATTTTCTTACTGCTTTCGATTAAAAAAAAAAATGTGTAAGCAATTATGTACCTGTTCTGGGATGAAACTGAATTTAGGAGATCTAAAGAGTTGTATAGTGCTCCACTGAAGACAAGACTCTTGCGCTCTCCTTTTCTAATTTTATCTTTTTAGGGATCTATTTTATCAAAGGGACTAGGTATTTATGCAAGTGCATTTGCTGCAAGTGTGTGCTTGTCCTTTCCCAGCCTCATGATGTGAGGAACAGAAAGAGGTAAAGATGGCTCAGGTGTGGCCGGGACAAATGAGGACAAGGTCGATTCCAGTGTGTAGGTGAGGAAGAATTCCCGCGGACACAGTGCTTCCTGGGAGATCTGGACTGCTCTATTTGCATTCTTCTTCTTCACTAAGGGAAATAAGCAAGGTGGTGGCATCTAAAAATAAGTATGGGGGTCAGACACCAAATAAATCATGTTTTATAGAACAGTTTTCTGCCCAGTTTATTCAGCTGAGATTTTACAATCAGAGTATTTAAGGGACATGAAAATGGGTTAGTTTCTGTGTTTTCCATGTTGGCAAAAATTCAGAAATTTATCATGTTGCATTGCCCTAATTTTGCCCAGAATTTTCCCTCCAGCCTCTTGCTGGAGAAACCTGCATCCTCTCTCCATTGGTGGTCAATCACTCAAAAAGCCATTCTAACCTGACTTTTTACAACAGTGCAAGTGACCAGTCAGCAATTGGAAGCAACTCTGAGTTGCTAAAACATTCCATTGAGAATATTCTGGGCTACAAAATGGGAGAATAGAGACCAGGATTTAGATTTAGCCACAAAGTGGAGAGTTTCTCCTACATACCTACAATACAAGCAATTAGGTATCACACAGACACTCTTTCAAAGAAAATTTATGAAAAAAAGCAATTAGAGGGGTCGGCTGTGTTGCAAGAGCTTATAGAGAGCTGACTACTGTCAATGCCTGAGCTTTCTTCTTACCAGATCTATTAAGAAATATTAAAGAAGTTACTAGTATGTCTCTAGGACTATTTGGCAACTATTGAAAGTTGGGTCTTTACTATCTACTTCAGAAGAAATCAAAACAGTAAAAAAAAAAAAAAAAAAAAAAAAAAGTAGAGATTTAAAGCTAATTTTATATCATCTCCAAAGGGAAGGAAACAAATTACTTTTGGATAGGAAGATAGAGAAAAAAGAAGTTCTCAACTGCTATGTGTTGACAGATGGACAAAGACAGTAATATTTTAGTGATCTTGGTATTGTTTTATGTCTGTGCTGTACACCTCACACAACCACCACCTGCAGTCTTTCTGATATTTTATGTAAATATTTCACAAGATTTATACCAGTGAAGGCATTTCAATGAAAATTGCTTTATTTATTTTCCACTGTTAATTCATTTTCTCTCCAAAATCATTCCTTAAAGTAGAAAAAGAAAAGGCTGCAAAAATACAAACAAAAAATCCGTATGGCCTTAGTTTCAAGACAGAGCTTAGATGATAAGATCCTGGCTGTTATTTTTCAACTTTAAAGTGTTCATTAACAAGAAGGGACATTGTGTTGGTGATCATCTTTACCGACATTTTCTAGATGATTGCAGCAAATGTTATTTTCTGAAGACTATTCTAGAACAGGAATTCCCAAATGCACAGGAAAAAAAGAGTGGTGGAGAAGTTGTAGTTTGTATTGATATATAGAAAAGTTACCTGAGAAATGTTTTTAAACCTCCATTTTCTGCAAAATAATTAAGACCAGTAACTGGTCTCCGAAGATCCTGAATTCAATGTATTAAAAACTTAGAAAAAATTTTATATTGGTGCCTTTTTAAAACGCATTGAGAGAGTGTTGATTCGCTGTTGTACCTCTACAACACTTTTACTGTGTATTTTTTAAAATCACTTAAAATTGAGCACTATATAATTTATCTTCACGTTTTTAGGACAACACTGTTACAAGAATTTTCAGTACAGAGACTTCTAGCTCATCCGTGCAAAGTCAAAGAAACTTTTGAAACCAGATTTTGTCTTTTTAGTTAAATAGTATTTCTGAATGCCATTACAAGGTTATGCTGGTGAAACATCAGGTAGATGGAAATGTTAGCTGTGAGTTGCATTACGGTATGTGTTTTGTTCTGTTTTAAGGAAAAATAAGTTCTGATAATCATGCAAGGCATTATTGGTGGGATTTTTGCTCAATAAAACAGAGTATTGTTTGGAATTTCATCTAAGGACTAGTTTTGTGCTAGTCTCAGGACCTCAGTTTCTAATCTGTTAACGTTTAATGAAATAATGTAAAGAAGCAGGTAGTTAGTTCTCCTTGAACAAAACAAAACTGAATAGTCAGGTCACACTGTTATTCTCCAAAGCATAATCTCAAGTGGTTTCCTACCATGATTGTGCATTACTTGCAAGGAATGCAAGGATATGACAGCTTTTCAAAACTAAAAACAATAGTAATAATAAGCTGCTTGTTATACAAAGCAAATGTCATATGACCAAGAAGCTGTGATATGCTAGTGTTTCTTTAATCATAGTGTATTGCTAGGCCAAAAAAAATGACACCTTTAACTATTTTTACATTTTTTGCAGAAACCTAAAATTTTGAAATTTCCATAAGGTTTTCACGTAACCTATTTCTGGCTTTTTTAGTTTCCTCTTGCTGTGTTGTAAGTTTATGGATATTTTTCACAGTCACTCTTAGAAATAAGTTCTTAATTCTGTTTGTGGGGGTTTTTTCCCCCCGGAGCATTGCATTTGTATATTTTCTGTATAAATTTCTTGTGAAATAACCTTTATCCCAGGCGAGAATATGTGAATGACTAGTTTTCTAAGATGTCCTTTTTATTGTGACTAAAATATAAAATACAGAGGCCCTCTGCTAAACCACTTAAAGGATGGCATATAACTTCGTGTAGGTACAGACGAGCCAGTTTGCAGTTAACTGGGCCTTCAAATTACCTCAAGTGACGCCCAGTAAGAAAGCTTCTCCGATGGGTGGAGGCCACTGAATCCCCTCCATGCACTTACCAGAATCCTACTTAATTTAACTCACTGGAAATGAATTTAGAACATTGAATACACTGTAATAAGGGAAGGACTCTGGGTTTTGTTTTTGTTGTTTTATCCTTTTGTGTGTGTGTTTTTTTTTAAGTAGTTCCATTTCTGAAACTGTGATTTAAAAAAAAAAAAAATGACTGTCAAGCACCCTCAGATTTTGAACATAAATCATGTCTCCTTTCTGTGTAACAAATTCTCCTTGTTTTCTCTTCTTAAATTTTGTCTGCTGTCCTCCACCCCTTTCTCCTCTCTGTCCATATCGCTTCCATCGTTGTCTTTGGATGTCTCTGCCTCTCTTTTCCCCCTACTAGTTTGAAGATTAGCTCAACTCCTATTTTTAAGTCATGGGTCTCTTAAGTCTTAATTTTTTGTGTGTGATTTCTGTTGGCTGTATAATCTGCTGACATATTTTTATACTCAAGTGTAGATTTATATTTTTAAAAAGTAGTTGGAGTGAAAATAGTAAGGTATATGACATTTGTGTTACTTTCCCTTTCAAATATTGGGTACCTAAAATATGACTTCAGAGATTATGTATCATCCTATGGTATGTTTGCCTTCCTTTTTTGTTGAATTTTGTGTTCTGATTTGGTTTTCCTTGGAAAGTGTATATTATGAGAGGTGAAACAATTTTTAAAATTTAAAACAAAAGTCTTAACTCTTTCCCAGCTGGGAGAAAGTGCTTTAACAATACTCTAATATTATTCCAGGTTTAGAGGGGACACTCCAGGCTCCACATTTGCTCTTACTACTCGGACCTTTTAGACCATGTGTTATTTGCAATTCTAGGATGATTGCTTCTGCTTTTAGTTCAAAAGATCTTTTTCTTTCTGTACAAGTGCAATACTTTCCTTAAAGTCTTAAAAACTATGGTTATTTTTTGTTTGTTTGTTTTCTGACCTATTCTTTCTTTAGTTAATGAAAAAAGAAACCCTTGAAAACCATGGTATGTTAGTCAAAGGACACAAAAAAAAGTAAGAGAAAAACTCTCCTCAGTCAAAAAAAAATCAGAGAATGTACAAACCATTGATCTAATCTCATGGCACATAATTCGGGCTAAATTCCCTTTGAAATTAGTACTCTTTTGGCTGAGAAGTGTGTCCTCAAGTTGGCTGAACTTTCTTCTTAGGCCCTTGTTCGATATTTGAAATTAAGAACTTAATATTTTTTATTTCAATTTTCTCCTTTTGAAAATGAACTTTAAAATGAAAGCAAAGCACTTAGCTCCATTTTAAACACTTGCCTATCACCTATTGGATAAAATTTTTAAGAAATATTTGGAGCACTCCTGTTTTCATACAAATTTAAGTAAGAAGTATTTTTCGTATCATACATATTTATATGCCATTTGTTGGTTTTCTTTTTTTATAACTGTGTCCCTGTAGTGAAACTGCTGTAATGTAAATACATATTTTGTTAAAAGATGACATTTCTTTGGCATTTCTCTTAAAAGGCAGTTACTGCATTCGTACAGTATATGTCTTTGCCATTTTAGATTTTTTTTTTCTTTAACAATACCAAAGGTAATTAGACTACTTTAAAAACTAATTGCTTGACAGTTTCTAGGATATTTTGAGTTGTAGAAGCAAAAAAATACAAATAAAGATAGGTCAAACCAGTAAACCTCATTTTTTTTCAAACTAATAATTTGGGAAAATAAAGCTATTGTTTAAAAAAAAGAAATATATATATATATATATATATATATATATATAAATATATATGTAAAATTGAAATTCCAGACCTTGTATGTCAGGTTTGCTCAGTGTAATGTAGTTTTTTTAAGGCTCAATGACCATACCTCAGAAAATGAGGTTTACTATGGAAATACTGAAACAGGCTTTGCAGCTGTGTGACAAGGCACTCTGCTACACACCAATTTGGAGACCTCCGATGTCACTGCAGATTAAATTATGGGACTTGTATTTTCTTTGTTTTTAAATACACACACATATATGTCCTGTGCATGTATGTGTGTACAGTGTATATGTGTATGAGTGTTGTATATGCATGTGTGAGTGTGTGTTGGTATGTGCGTACCACTAAAAAGCTGCAGAAACTTTGTAATACTTTGTGAAAAGGATTATATTATAAAGGTTTGTACTGTCTGAGTGCACAGCTACTGGAATAAAAATTTAGGGAATCTCAGGAACAAGCATATAATTTGTCCAAGATTTATTTCTTCTCAGAAGTGTAAGTGCAGTTTTTAATTCTGTATATTATTTAATATTTTACCAATAAAATAAACTTCTGACATAAAAATTTGCTATAAAAACTTTCTGGTGAAAATTCTATTCACAAACATCTTGCACATGCAGAAACATAGACCGGCATCTGGCTTGTTGGCGTGATCATAGCCATTGTGTGTGTGTGTGTGTGTGTGTGTGTGTGTGTGTGTGTGTGATGTTTCTGGACTCAGAGATTTGGACATGTGTCCTTACAGCCCCCATCATTACCATGTAGCCCACCCCAGCAGAGGACCAAGTGGTTCTGCCCATAGTGGTGTCCAGTTGTTTGTTCCATGGTTTGTTAAGGATGACATCTCTCACCTCTTCAGGAAGTTTATAACTCATTTTATCCTTAAATCTAAGAGGTCATCCCTTAAAGAAGAAAAGAGTGAGACCTGGGGAAGATAGTCGTGGCTTGCTCCAAAGTCCACAGAGACTTACACAAGCAGCCCAAGCAGTGCTCCCTGTCCACACGAGAAGCCAGCAGCGCTTAGCTTCAGACCAAGATGAAAGCGTCCGTCTCAGAGACTGGGGAATCACACTGGCAAAAGTGTGGCTGTCTGTCCTGCTTCATGTTATACTACAATTAGGCGAGTCACGCTATTCTCTTCAGATTTTACAAAGGAAGTTTGTGTTCACATGAGAAGTTTGTGAAAGGGCGCTTAGGATTTGCAAACTCATTTCCTTTAGCCTTAGCTATTTGCTTATCCCATGCCAGTTTTAAGTCCACCATCACATTTGAGAGAGCTGTTAGAATTTTTCTTCATCAATAAGTATTCACAGAGTGTCATAGACCTTTATCACAGTTTCCAATAATTTTACTTCCACAAGCCACACAGAAGAAAAATATTACAAATTCAAATGAAATTTTACTTCACTGACCATCTTTAATTCAAAATATT